GTAACTTAAGTTCAATGCACAGATAACATCGACTGCTTTGACAGTTACTATTTTGAAATTCTCTAAAGTAAACTTGTTCCTTTTGTAGTATGTATTACAAAAACTATAGATATATGTTTGAGGTAATCCTCAGTAAACAAAACTGTTTCTTTGTATTCAATTGTCCTTCGATTAATGGTCTCCTCATTCTTTGAATTCGACCAATTTTAAACGTTTTCTCTAACTTATCCAAATAATCATAATCATTAAACAGAGAGATGCCATCTTCTAGATTTCTATTAGTCCGATTCAAAATATTATTCGAGTTACAGGGATCGTGAATCTGTCGAACTCTGACCAGTCGAATAAGAAATGAAAAACAATAAAATATTCATATAAATGAAAGAAAGAAAGAAAATTCGCACAAGGGTAGCTGCTGTTAGTAGAGAAATTATTGTACCCTCGAGTTTTTATGTTATACAACATGTCTAATAAAAGATTCAGACTATTAATAGCTTAATACAATAGAGAATGGAAAGTCTTTAGTTTACATAAAAGGTTTAGACATATAGTTTCAGTAAAACTTATTATGCAAAATATCAAAGTACTGTTAAATATGCTTGCTTATATGTGAAAAAAAATCATTCATAGTACATGAATGTTGTGTCAGTGGCCCGGATGTATGTTTTATATAATCATAATGTTTTCTAGTATATGAAAACTTCGATAGAACAGTCAAAGTACGAATTGTATAAAACAGGGGTATAAAACCACTGATCGGTTTTATGACATTCATATTCAAGTATTTCAAACGAATTTTTATTTGATAAAATATTCATTCTTTATGATATTAACTTGTAAAATGAACCAATACCTGTCTTTAGAGAGATTCGGATGTTCATTCAACAGTTTGACAATCGTATATCTATATTGCAGACCATGACCTGGAACCATAACTGTTAGATCTGCACACACTGTTGATCTGTAAATACAATTTTATTTTTATTTCAATCACTTGTTAAACCATATAAACTGTTATTGACATTTAAAGGTAAGGAAAAGTTGAGGTTTCAACAACAACAAAAAATTGTAACAAGGAAATATTTGCACTTCACTTTACACCTGGAACAATTCAGTCTTAAAAATTTCTTTGTTTACGCTACTTTTGATTTTGCTAATTGAGTGTTCAGCAATTTTTATTTCTTCTCTCCCCCACTATATTTTCAAAAACCAACCTGTTTGTTTCCTGTATATCCTCATTTTCAAAAAGGTCGGCCAATGAAACCAGACCATCTTGCAAGGTGGATGATTCTTCAGGTGTTATGTCAAACAAATACTGTGAGCCCGACTGAGAGTCTGCAAAACAAATTTCTAAAAACTTTTATTTGTAATTACATTTATAAGTAACCGAAAACAAATAGTTTGTGTACTCTCTCAAAATGATAGTGATACGAATTATTGCTTTTCATATCTAAAATTAATACTGATAGCAGAGCTCCAGATAAGAATTCACAAATTGGTGTTTTTATCCACCATTTTTTTATGTAATTGGGTGATAAAGTTTTTTAATTGCATTATCAATTCCAATTCACCCCTCAAGCAAATATCAAATTGGGGTTTTCACCACCAAGCTCCTTAATGTATTGGGTTTTTTCATCAACACAATATTGAATATTTAGGCATGTTATAATCACATTATATCACCCCCAGATGTTTCCATCTTAAATGTGTTTTATTTCTTTGTATATGTGCTTAGCTGTTTTATTTGGTTTATTCACTGACGAGCAATTGTACGTTTAATTTGTGTCCCGTTTTAAACGTTCTGTCAGTTTTGTATTTTCTCAAAACTTATGTAAACTGCAGCTGGTGTCACTAGTTGGACAGTAACTAATTGCCTTTCTAGATCCCATATGATCACCCTACAGTTTATAGTTGTGGTAGGTGTTGCTAAGTGTTTAGATTTTTATGTAATATATGTGAAATTTAGGTGCTGTAAGAAAGTTTTGCCAGTCCTTTCACCTATTTGCCAGATCTACTTTTTAATAAAAATAAAAAGTAGTTCCCAGATTTAAGATATACCCCAAAACCTTGAGATTTATAGGGTGGTTTAATGATGGAGACCACATTAAACTTAAATTTACAAATAATTCTGCAACATCAAGTAAATAAATGACAATGTTATACTGCACTTGCCAATAAGACAACTATCTTAAGCATCCAGAACAATTAGACCAAAACAAAGAAAGTGTCAAGCTGCATAATTTGACGTAAAAAACGGATATGTGTATTCATTCATCAACTAAAATGAAAAAAAATAATATATAAACTGTTTTTGTTTAATTCAATTTACATAAATCTGGGTTAAGTTGTCCCTTATCAGAACTTTTGGTTTCCGATGCTTTCCAACTACATAGCATGTCATAATTGATTTGGCCTTTCACTTTTCCCAACTGATTTCGTTTTTGACGAAACCCCGTGTTTATCGTTCTATAGCAATGTTCTTGTTAAGGTACGCAAACACGCCCGTGCGTTCAATATACGCTTCCTAAAATCACTAGCTGAGTCTTGTTATCATCATAATTTTCCCTCAGCTATCAAAAAGAAGCCGAAAACATGCTTCTATTCAATATTTGTATCGGACATTTACTTTCGTTTTAATTCATTGTATGTTATGATAAATCCCAAGCAATTCGAAAAAAATATGACAGCATGTCACACGCTTATTGGATAAACCCGAGATGATCGAAATGTTTTCATAAACACGTGTACCTTTTGAGCAACGGAAAATTCCAACAGGGACCCATTACAGATACTTGATGCAGGGCTCTATTTTAAGAACGAAAAGACATTTCCAATTATAAATATTATAAAAATAGATTTACGCGACGACTGTAATCAGATAAGGGTAAATAACGCAATCGATAGCGAATAAAAGCGTTAAGAACTCATGGTTTTGGCATATAATTGGGTTTTCCTTTGAATTAATTGGGTTATTGAACCCTGCAATGGGCAATTGCATTGGGTTTTTAATTATTTGTATTGCGTGATCACGCAAATACGCAGCTTATCTGGAGCTCTGCTGATAGTAATATTAAGTATGTTTATATAAAAAGTAAAAAAAAACTACTATTTGGTTTGACTAATTTTTTCTCGTTACTCAATTTTTTCTACGAATATAAAACTGCCTTCTTTCCAGTCCCCGATTTCAGTTCCTAATGCAGGATAATCTACAAAGGAACACAATATTCCACAGTGAGCTTGTCTATGCCATATCTTATCTTGCTTTATATGTGCTTTCGCAAATGTTGGTGCATTATTATCAACTTCAATTTAATTAAGTCTGATCATGTGACTTACATTTCTAAACATTTGCGCATATGGATAAACATGATGATTTCCAACAAACTGTCTGTTTTTAAAATCTAATTTTCACAGCAGTCTGATCCAACAATACTTAACTCACATCTCGATTAAAGCATATCAAAATAACAGCAAAATGCACAGATATCAAAATATCCGTATAAATATCTATCGACAACAAGTTCGTAGTCAAGATTAATTGCTGGTGCTTGTGTACAAAATTTCTACATATGCCAGGGTTGGGAAAAACCCGGGTTGTATGAGTATTGCCCAGCCCAGTGTGAAATACTGGTAATACTGGGTAATATGAAATAATGGTCTGAAAGTATTAAATTGACATTCATTTAATAACTTTTGTATTGTAAAATTTAAAGGAGATTTTCTAAAATAAATATTTTATTTCCAGATCACACTGTCGCATTTCCACGCAGTGTGAACCTTAAATGCGAATAGTAACTATGATTTTGCACATAACTTAATAGTATTAACATCAAAATGAATGCACAAACCTGTGAAATTTCAAGTCGATATTACAAAAATTTCATGGAAAACTTTTAACCTAATTGAGGCTCGATTCAGACAAAGTATACGTGATTAACGTACAGGCAGACCAGACAACAAAACATTATACACTATTTGCCCTTACTGTACCCTATTGGAGGCTAGACATAAAAAATAACCCAACATGTTTCAATCTCGTGTTTGAAATTAAAAGGAAAATATGGAAAATCCCTTGTGCTTACACATATATGTGTAAATATCAGGTAATTGAGAAGAAAGGATAATAAACTCTGTATGTATACAAATATTACCATGTTCATCCTCATAATTCAATAAATGCGTTAAGGACTTTTGATCAAGCTTGGAAATCGGCATATCAGCCTCAGAAACATCATGTTTGGTATTTAGTTCTTCCAGGTGCTCATATTGACATATAAAGCTATCAGTGTCACACTTGCTGTTAGACCTGTCATTGAAACTACTGGTAATGAAATTTCTGTGGTTTTAACGTCACCAAATCAACCTTGATATTTTTCATCTTCTGGTACATTAGTATAGCACCTTTTTTCAGGTCCGGCTCCTCATCACATTCATGTTTAGTAACAACACAGTCACAATAATCACATCTTGCTTTTCCAATAAATTCGTCACATTTTAAACACTCTCCTCTATTTACCCCTTTGATATCTTTCCTCGAGTAGCTAATTGATTTTTTTCCTACATGACAACATTCTCAGCACAAACGTAATTGACATGTTATTGATATATAATGTCATTGATTACATAAAGAAAAGGAATGAAATTGATTGTAATAAATAACTTTGGCATGCTATTGACACAGGTCTGATAGAGAGCTTTGAAAACCAAAACTTCAAACAAAGTCTTGCACAAATTTAACTCGGGCTGATCTTTGCCGAAGTAAAAAAACCTTATAGTCCATTTAATAATTCAACAATTTTTTATATTTGTGTTATAAATATTTTAATGTTCTCTTATTTTTTTCTTATTAAAACATGCCAGTCCAGACTAATTGATTGATTGGTGGGTGTTTAACGGCACTTTTCGCGCTATTTTATGGCGGTCTGCAAGTCTAGAACGTATTCAGCAATATCTTTAATTATGTATTATGTTCGCTTTGATGTATCTTTTGATTATTCCAGCCGAAGATAAAATTGAAGAATTCAAATGGAATCGGATCATGTTGATAATACAATAAGAGAAAAACTTGATCGAAGCGTCTTCCACCCTGACAGAAAGCATGGTACCACTGAGCCCGGTGTTGGTGATATTTTGGACAGAACTCTGCATTTATCTACCTTAGATAATGAAAAGATCAATTCTCAAAAAAGGATAACAAATTTCAAAAATGGAAACCTGCCTACAATCTCCGATAGTGACGAAATTCAAATCACCGAGGAGAATGAAAATATTGATATCATCTGTTCAGTTATTAATAAAAATCAAAATATCAAGACAGAGGAAGATATTCAAGAGAAAGATTTTGAGGGATCGTTCGACTTTTCTTCAGATTATGTTCTTTTATCAACACGGAACTCCACCGATTCTCCGAGTAATGTAAACAATAATGGGAATGCGATTCTTCGACTACTGAATATAACACCTACAACGATTCTAATATGTTTTGGTGCTGGACTAATAGCAATGATTGTTTTCAAAAAGTAAATCTGATCAGCAGGATACGACTTAAAATGAAAAAAATATCGACCACAATTATAACATTTATAAAATATATTTACTTCATATTGAAATATCACTTTGCTTGTTTTATACCGCGAATCATTTATTTCATATAACGCATACAACATTAAAAGTCCAAAGTGTAAAAAGCAGCCATGACATTTGTCATACTACAGCTTTTCCTTATCGGAGAGTTTACTTCTGTTTGTAAGCTATAAGCAAGAAAAATAGATGCTCTTACATGTTTCTTATGAATAATATATTTTTTTGTATAACGTTAACATTGTACTGATATTATATACAATGTATCCATAGTTGCGCTTAACAAAGACGTAATGTATCATGTATTATGCCAGGAAAACGAAGTGTTTTGTTCCTTTGACAAACCGTCTCTTCTCGCTACATCATAACAATATTCAACAATTTTTTCAAAATTATATGGAAGTTCTATGATGTTGTCGGTAAACAATCGTCAAACCTATAGGTTGCACTTTGTAAATACAGCTGTTTCTCAAACCACGCCTCTTTTGAGGAGATATATAATATTCATAGATATGTTAATTTGTTAATGTACTGGTTCCCATTTATGATCTCTGTGTTTCATCTCATAGAGACATCACTTGGGAATGTAACCAGTATAGAAAAACATGGTAGCGCCTAAATTTTAATTCTTAGGAGGTCCAAATATGAAGGTAAGGGTAGTATAGAATTTTAGTATAAGTTTAAACTCTTAGAAGTTCAGGGCATATAAATGTTGAAAATATGAATGTTGGAATGATTAACTACTAAACAATACATTTATAGTATTCTAAAATGCTTTCAATTTGTTATCAGAATAGTTTCAAACATGTTTTAGACATTTCATGTCAGAAAACATGCACATAGGGTAAGCTGGCAATGGTTAAAGTCTTGTTTTCAAATTCTTTAAAAAACTGAAACAGGGGTAGGGGTATAAAATTTACTGTAAAAGGAAACTAAGAGTATATGCAGTGATTTCCTTAAGGCTATAATTCTGATAAATAAGTATTGTTGTGAGAAAAGGTTTAGAAGGTTTTCTATTTGAATAAATGTTTGTATAGGTTGCACTTTGTAAATACAGCTGTTTCTCAAACCACGCCTCTTTTGGGGAGATATATAATATTCATAGATATGTTAATTTGTTAATGTACTGGTTCCCATTTATGATCTCTGTGTTTCATCTCATAGAGACATCACTTGGGAATGTAACCAGTATAGAAAAACATGGTAGCGCCTAAATTTTAATTCTTAGGAGGTCCAAATATGAAGGTAAGGGTAGTATAGAATTTTAGTATAAGTTTAAACTCTTAGAAGTTCAGGGCATATAAATGTTGAAAATATGCCGCACAGCCCTATATTTTGACCTTTGAATAAAATAGTAGTGCATATAAACTTTCCGTTCTGGGATATAATTTTTCACGAAACTTCATAGTAAAAGTGTCACAGTTTTACCTGCAAAGGGAGTTCCTATGGGAAATTGCATTGTCCATATATACAGAAATGCAACCTATAACATATATCATAAAAATCGCCACAATAGTAATCTGCTTTTCAGTAGTGGGAATAGTGTAAAGTCAAGTTCTATGATGTAAACCACAAACCCTTTCTATCAGCAACAATATTCCAAAACGGAGATCTTGCTAAACAATATTCAAGGAAAATAATAAATTTCGGCTAGTTACTGGTATTGTCTTGTAATCCGGATGATTATTTGTATGAAATTAAGACACAGGTCAAGTTTTTACTTTAGAAAATGGATTACAATGTCACAAACCATACGATACAGGTAAAGTTCGATTTGGTTGATTGAAACGTTGGCCTTTGAAGAGTCAGGCCCTCAACTTAGCCTAAAAGTTATTACCGGATACTTAAAATACATTTTTGTACCACTTGATCATGTTGATCAAATCTTTTGAAATGTGAATGCAATATCATTGATCAGAAAATACGGGTTAGGTTCGATTTTGATGATTTTTATACACACATTTAAAGAGTTAATCCTTTAGTAACATTCAATTTGTTTAAGTCAGGTTGCGAATTCTAGTTGAAATTAAATTAAATACCGTTTTGCCTAATGTTTTTAGATTTAAATACATAAAATGCTTACGCTTCTAGAGATCCAGGAGTTGGTTTCACAAAAAGACTTATGACTAAGATTAATCGTAAGTCATGAACAATTCAGTATACTTACGATCAATCTTAGTCGTAATTTTTTTTCGAGAAACCGATTGCTGTAACACAATGCTATCAATCGTAAAATACAGTTATATTACGTTTGAATTTTTGCTTTGGATAACACCAAAATTATTTGAAAGCGGGAGTATTTGTGATCACTATTTTATTTACATATAACTCTAGTTAGTGTTTATTTTTGATTCTGCGATATATATCATCAATTTGTTTAACTTCTAAAGTACAATAGTTTTATCTTTTACCTTACAAGTTTGTTGAAAAAATATAAGTAAATAGTATTGACATGCTTACACAAGAAGCAACTGTGAACATCTAAATGTCGAAAAAGCCATACGACTAGATAAAATAGACAAAACGTAGAAAGTGTTACAAAACGTGAAATATAATAATTCAGCAATTAGAAACCGGAAACAATATTTAAGTAGAACACACTCGTAATACAAGGACTGATATAAGGATTTCTAGCAGAGTAATCGTTCTATGTAATATGCGTATGACCTCCTTGTATGATTGGTCGCAACAGATAAACTCGATCGGCAAATTAAAGTCCGGGATGTAAAACTCTGTGACAACATTATCCGGAATTTTTACACTTATCTTACATACTGGCATTTATTTTTATATTTGTGATATGTAGTATATGTACATTTGAAATTCATAATATGCAACATGATAATTTTGAGTTTTGCATTGTAATTTGTTAATTGTCTTACTCTGTTGAATACTTCTAAATATAATCAGTTTGCTGACAAGAATCAGAATCTTTTTTTCTATTTTGAGAGCAATATCAAAGTACTTTGTGTATGTTGCATAATCATGGGTATTAATAACGGAAGCCAGTAAATTCATATCTTAACTATTTCGTACCAATGCTATTTTGTATCCAGATTCACCATTTCGTCATGTTCGTACCTAACATTTTTAATTTGTAACAAATATTTGTAAGTTGTTTCAACATTACAACACTTGTTTTAAGATGATTTTGATTGAAAAAAAAACAACAGTAGCTTTCACTTTTGTGTTGAAATTTTACCGGTTGAAAATGTTGATTATTCGATGATTTGTTTGGAAATTTTGTTTTTAAATGCTCTTCTATCTTAAGTCATTTGACGTTCCAACTGTTTTAATACAAGCCATATAAAGACAAAACGCGCATTTGGCGTACCGAATTACAAACTTGGTAACTTGATGTGTTTCAAAAATATATGGGTCAATAGATGCCACTTCTATAGAGGTTCCATTACGACGAGTATCACCAGCCCTGCAATCAATACTTTGTGTTGACATGAACTAGTATTGATATGTTCATGTTGTGTGAATTTACTTTTTATAAAATGAATTAATCATAACACTAGGTTTTTCCACCCCTTTAAGTCATATTTTGCACAAGTTTTCAGATGTTTTTGCTTTTTTAAGCTGTTAAACTTTGTGTTTGATTTGAACGCCAAATTGAGGAGTTATTGAACTTTATTCATTGAAAAAGCGACTGGCGTATCATACGCTCATGACGCAGCTCTTCATTATGATTATCTTGAAAACGCTAATTAATTCAGAGACACTTTTAAAAAAACTCTGTTAAAACTTGATCTACAAATATGATGAAATCGTGGGTAGACTCTTTATACGAGTTATTTTCCTTAATGCGATTTTTTTTCACTGTTTTAATTATAATTCGTAAACAGAAAATACGATCAGCAAAATCAGAATTTCAAATATATCATCATGTAATCATATATCTAAATTGAAATCTACTGATTATAAACAGGCCCTTGCATGACGATTTTTGCCATGTTTTTATTTTGTGCACATACTACAAAGTTTGATGGAAACTGATGCAGAAAAAAACATCAGCAATAATAGATCAATGCAGAAAAGAATTTTTAATCAGAATTAATACTCTTGTCTTTAACGTTGTAGAATAGCCATAGTTGAAATTGCACATGGCTCCTGTTGAGCGTCACAGGCTCTTTAGACGCTACTTATTTTAGGTAGCAGTTCACATTTCCGCCTTTTTTTTTGGTAGACTAACTTTGAAAAACGTCCGTACCGGATCAATAATTAATCGATTTCGTTTAAATATGTATGAAATATTTGTAACTGGATATTACGCAACATAAGTTAATCAATTTTGATTATTCTCCTTGTAAAAATATTCATTTATTTTGACTTTGTAAGAATTTACTCCAAACGTTCAAGTATTACTACAGGATAATATTAATAAAATTTGAAATAATTGAGAAAACCATGTTGGTCATGAGCCAGTGAGTCACAAATACAACAATAGACAGCTGTCGGGCTCTTGAAAATTATAATTATTAATTAATCATACATTGTTGTCAATATATTGGGATTCTATGTAACTGTCATGCACGCGAAAGGTTTAGCTAGCTATAAAACTAGGTTTAATCCTCCATTTTCTACATAAGGAAATGCCTGTACAAAGTCAGGAATATGACAATTGTTTTCCATTTGTTTGATGTGTATGAGCTTTTGATTTTGCAATTTGTTAAGAGACTTTCTGTTTTGAATTTTCATTGGAAGTCGGTATTTTTGTTATTTTACCTTTTACTTTAATTAACAAACACCTGCAATTTACACCCAATACTCCAAATTACGGAAGCAATTATGACATATGACAACTATGACGAGTTGCTTTTTTTATTGAGAACAGACCACACATGTTATCGGTTGTCCATTGACATATGGTGGACATTTAAGACTTCCGCATTGAGCTTTCACTCCGTATATAAGGTAACTTAACTCATTATTTTCTACTCCAGAATCAAGAAAGTCAACATTTGCATCAATGCAAATGAAAGTCGTCGTGTGAGCGTGCCCGTCGTCGTTACCAGAGAGATAACCTTGATACTCTTCTGTCCATCCGGGGAGGCACTTATTTCGGCCTGGAATCATTAAAACAGTAGAGTGTGCAGGTTTGCAAACTGCACAAGGCACATCCTTATCTAAGGAATTGGCACCCCAGAAATTATCTTGGTATTCTGCACCACGAAGTATTGCCATATACTTTTCACTCTGATGATTGCCCCCCAATACTTCATGAATCATACATAGTGGATTAGCGGACCCTCCTGTCGCTGCATAAGAAGTACCTGCGGTCTGACCTGTAACCAAATACACAACATAATGAGATGCCATTGCTTTTTGAAAAAAGAGACATTTTTCTAGCAACGTGCTGACTGATATAAGGGAGGAATTCATATAGTAATTCGGATTTGGTTGAAGAAATTCACTCTATAATAGCGGATTTGCTTGAAATGAATGTTTTGAAAAATTGATTCAAGTCGGTAAGACGAAAAATGATGAGATTTTTAATGACGAACACGAACTGATGATTGCAGCTCAAAAAGAAAATAACATGTGTAATAATCATTTTTAAACTTTTAAATACTCAAACATCGGCAAAACAAAATAAGTCAGCCATTTTGCTTTTATACAAATAGCGAGTGAAATAAAGTAGAAAAAGTTGAAAGAGGGACGGGAAACACATTTTTTATTATAATAATTCATTGGAAATAACGTTTTATCCCGTAATTCAAATGATTTGCATAGAAAAACAATTGTAGGCGTAATCACAGCAATAATTGAGAATGGTTCCTTAACAAATGGAAACATGATATATTTAAAAATACCTTTTAAAGTGTTATAATAATGTACGCCAGATTCTCGTTTCGTCTACACCAAAGTGTCGTAATAAATACATGACATAGACAAAATGCAGCCTAATTTAATTTTTGCTAATACTAACAAAGTAGCTCTCCGGATAGCAATTTTCGTGATCGTTATTTATTCGCTTTCAAATTGGAATCTAGATTTGGAGATCAACTTTTCGCTTATTGTCAAAATCTGTACATATTTTCTAATAAATTTTTTTCTCCATTCATATAATATATAATCGATATGTGAATAGACTCATTTCCCAATATTTAATGGTAGTGAAAAAAAGATAGATAAGGGAATAAACGAAAAGAACAAAATCAGCGTGAATAGAAAATAAGACAATCTCCTATTCCTATTAAGAAACAGGAACCCAATTCAATTTAGTTACCATTTTCCGTATTCCATGTGAATACACACGTTTATTCTGCAAATTACTGGAATTCTCTTTTATTGTTTACATAAATGTACGTACCAGAATAAATCAGCGTTGAATTAGTTCCACATGCCTTCTTACCCCATCTGACATAGGTTTGTTGATTTCCTTAAATATATACAAATTGTTCAGTTTTGTTGCCAAAACGTGTAGGAAACTCGGACGATATTTTACATTCTCATATTTGACATTTCGTAAAATAAAGACGTCGATCTTAATAGCAAGTTTTAAATAGTAAGATAATAGTAAGATGATACAAAGAGGCAGAAACAGTCGATAAAGGCATCACCATGGCCAAAGTAAAATATGAAAAGACAAACTTCACTCTACTAGATACTAAAAAGAAAAATTAGTTACTTAAAAATAACAATAATGCAGTAACATCTAAATCAGATAAACATTTATCACTTTACCTAAACACCTGCCATGTTTGAATGGGGTCTTAAATCTATATCTGTTTTTGTATGTACTAGGAAAAGAGAGGACAATTGTAAACACATGATTTCATGACACTGATCACGTTTTAAACGCTGTGTGCCAAATTACCATACATGGGATAACAAGGATATTCGAGTGCAACGAAAATCTCATGATACAATTTTGCTATGAATATGTTTTGAAAACCTTTAAATAGAAATGAATTATTTTTTTTGTCTGCCGCACGACGCATTGCGGGGGGACATAGAAATGCCAAGCGTCCGTCCGTACATCCGGTCTTGTTAGCGCTTTCAGGTGTACAATTCTTCCCAGATTTTTTTTATAGAAATCATATCATAGGACTATATCAGCAGTTTCGAAAATCAGTGCCGATCAATTAATGTTTTAAAGAGTTATGTCTTCGGAAATTGCATTGCATTTGGTCTCAAGCCGACATTTCCCTCAGATGTCTATAACTAATTTTAAAGATTTTTTTTTGTTATTGCCATTGGACAAATGAAATATGTGCAAGGCGGGGGACATGGTAACATTGTAATACATGTATTTGATTTTTCTTAAACTAGATACACATAGAATTAATAAAACTGTAATCCATTTTGCTTAACAGATGATAAATAAGATAAGGTAATGATTACCTTGATGATTTATTTTCTCCTCCTTCAACTGCCTGGTTAGATCCTGTACTTTTGCTTCAAGCATTTCCATACGATGCAAAAGAGCATCCGGATCATTAAGCAAAAGTCTCTTCTCGGCAGTTTTTGCATCATTTAGTGAACATACGTTAAAAAAAAGGAAAGTGACACAAAGGAACACTGATACCATATTGCCAGTTCTATTTATTGACAATCTAACATGATTTTCTGCAAAGGTGAAAAGGTAAGATATAGAACAAGATAGCATTATTACATTTAATAGAACGGGCGATTTTCATGTAAGAAGTATAAGGTTAGGTTCTGCCAACATGGTTTAAAGAATAGATAAGTTTATGTGCAGAAACAATGAAATCTTTATCATTGTGAAAATATATAGACAGAAAAATTTCGTAAAAAGTACAGAAGAGTTGCCCTTTAACGTACATACCAATATCTAAGATATGTTGTACGTTTTTATATCTTGACATGACTTGTGTTACTTTCACTAGACGTCCTTTCAGTCGATTTGTGTGGATCTTGGGTGATAGTGAAATAAATGGCGACTCAATCTGTTTATGGAAATTATATTTCAGTAATTTATTATTGTCTGATCTCAAGACAGTAATACATATTTACCTTATAAAAAAAATTGTGGTACTTCCACTTCTAATACATTCATAAATAGAAAAAAAGTATGAAAGTTAAACTAAAGTGAAAGCTTACGTGATGTCTATTTTAAACAATGCATAGCAAGAAACACTCACCCTGTCGACGCACATGGTGTCGCACCTTTTGAAATTCATCGGATACCCTGAGTTTTTTGTTTGTTACCTTGATTTGTAATAAAAATTGTCATAGAAAATAAAATAAAAAAAAATACCGAAATCCAAGGCAAATTCAAAACGGAATGTTCCTTATCAAATGGCAAAATCAAAAGCTCAAAAACATCAAACGAATGAAAAAAAAACTGTCATCTTCTTGACTTGGTACAGGCATTTCCTTATATACAAAATGGTCGATTAAATCTAGTTTTAAAGCTAGCTAAACCTCTCACTTGTGTAACGATCGCATTGAATTCCATTATATTGACAACAATATGTGAGGTTAATGTCCAATGCATGTTCCGGACGACAATATTTTTACAATAAAAACAATAGGTAGTCCTGTTAAATGTAAAATGACAAAAATACCGAACTCCATAAGTTGTAATTTTTTTGTAATTGTGGTACACATTCTTTTTGACAAAGGTTAACACCGAACGTAGGGACAATTTATCATTTCACTACAATAAAATTGATGTTAACTGACCCATACAAATTCAAAAAAATACGAAAACAACATATAGGAAAATAGGGTAACAGAAAAACTGAAGTCTGTAGTCGCTGCAGTTTTTCATCATCCAAGCTGTCAAACTACAAATCTTATCAATTTACGCATAAGCACGTCTGCTACAAGATTTTTTTCGGTCGTCACATTAACATAATGATCCGTAAAGCAAAGGCGCTATTTCAAGTAGTGGCTAGGAGGAAGATTCAGAAACGCGCGCTGATCAGACATTATCGAAGTTGGCCAAGAATCTACAATGTAGATGGAATACTGATTTACCTATTCATACTGGTACCGATGCTGAATACGAGGAACATGTATGGGTTCCCTTTTCCTCTATACTTTACACTTATAGATCATTAAAGGACTAAGTTTCCAAAACCATAAGTCAAAGCTGACCTTAATAGATTTAGTTATCCTTAAACACGCACCAAAAGTATAAAAGTGTTGTTCATTTTAGGCACAACAACATTTGTCATAAATAAACCAATCATAGTTACAAGTATTAAATTTTCTACAAAAGACTTATGTGTGACGCTCGAATAAAAAAGTCAAAACGGTCAAATGAAGTACAAGGTTGTAGGGAATTGAAGACCCAAAATTCTGAAAGGTTATCCCAAATACAGCTAATGTAATCTATCCGTGGGATAGAAAATTCTCAAATGTCTGATCTGCCAGATGATGTGGCATGAACCATGAAAATGAGGTCTATGCAAACTGACTTTAAATTTCAGAGATGAAGAAATAATAATTCAAACCGAATGCACATATATATTACAACACTTCCTTATAGACGTGATTCGAGCTTGTGATTGTATGAAAAGATATACTTAAATGATGTCACACGTTAAGTGTTCCCATATATAACTTTAAGTATATTACAAGTGATTTAATACACAACTATTATTGAGTGTTTCCTGTATTAAATTAATAACTGTGCACACAGTTGTTTCTACAAATTCAATTATACGTAACATAAGTTATCACTCGTGATCATGCATTTGTCAATGTGATAACAATGAAATTTGATTCGTTCTTAACCAGGTAAGGACATAGCTAAAGATAAGCCTAGTGACGGACTTATGATTGCATTGTAATTTTTCGGTGTCAAAACCTCTATTCAATTTCAAAACGAGAATGCAACAAAAAAGAAAGTGTAGGAAAGTTGGTCAACCTTGATAAATGGCGAGAAATTTAATAACAGGAAGTCGATAACAGACAAATCCCTTTTTATCAACGAATCCTATAGAAGTTATTGCAATGAATGGTATTTTTAAATGAATATGGTTTTGTACGCTGTCCACATAATTATTCACCCGACATGGATGCACGATCACTATCATTTTGTAGGAAAAGGACCACCTTTTGATAGGGGCTATAATACATATTCTAACTCGGTAACGGAAAATGCAGAAAATATTTATGTTCGAAATTGAAATAAATAAGCCGTACTTGCTACAGATGAAAATGAAAATTCCAATTGCACACCAATTTAATATTTTTGTTCAAGAATCACAAAATAAACAACATTCTAAAATGTCTATTCCTGCAACATATATAAGATAACTAACAATCCATTTCAAACAAATACCAAAATAAGATTGATAAAAAAAAACCATACTAATTACAGTACATGTTGTAGTGAGAAAGGTTACGAACTTTGTAATTAAAAATAGTGGATTGATAAATACAAATCAAATGTTCCATCATGAAATGATAGTAGATTACGGAAAAAGGGAGATATGAATACCAAATTGATATGATAACCGATGCGTTCAAAACATTCATGAACATTTACATGTAATCCTAAAGACGTTAAAATGATGATTAATCACTGGGTGAATGGTTAAGGATAATGAACCTTTTTTTGTTGTTTCAATGCTAAAATATGGAAATTTTATAAAAATCCACAGCCTTTCCCCTTAAAATCTAATGATTGACAATTCGGAACTTAATAACTAAGAGATTACTGCATACAGTGGTATCAATCATTCCCTAACAGACGATTTTCAAATGAAGATATCAGTTAAAACAAGTACAAATATGGACTTATACCAGCACACCTTCAGGGGTGCGCTCGACTTTAGTGACACAGCACGAGAGATTTGGACTGTAAAAGTTGTTTGACTTTTGTAATCAATAAAGGATAGCACAACACGGACAAACATGTGAGTGATGAATTTAAAGATCATTTGACTTTAACATAGAGGACTTGGATCGTGCAGAATAATTCAAATACATCTTTCAACAGCTCTATGAAGGGTATATGGCAGGCCTGTAGCAGTGGGAAATTCTTACTTGTATACAACATGCTATATATTGATCGAAAGTGTGTTCGTACTTAAATCAGGGGCGTAGCTAGGCCAAAATGATGTGTACTCAATGCCGAGGAAGGAGGTCACACGGCGAGGGGTCGGGGGCCGCTGAAGGCCCCCAGAAGCTCTGGAGTAAATGATGCAAATCCTGCATTCACGCGATTTCCTGGGACTTAAAATTACCTCCCATTTTAATGAGTAACAAGTCAACTTTTTAAAATAATTAAATTTGAAAAAAAAATTAATTAGACAAAGCAAACTTTTAATGTGTAGTAGGTAGAACTTGTTTATATATTAGGTATAATTAAAAATATATAGTGCCACTACCATATATTTTAATTGTTACCTAATCAGTGACAACCCACTATACATTAAAAATACAAATTTCTAAGCCAACACCGTGCAACTTAAATGGAATTTATTTTTGGAGAAAATACATAAATAAATCTCTCTAAGTTTTATTTCATAAGAGAACAAACAGTCTTTCTTTTAGCTTTTAATTCTCAAAGTTACTTCGGAAAGTCAATGACCATTTCCTTTCCTTTCGTCTACTGAAGATGTCCAAAACCGTGTCTGTTGAAATTTGTTTTTCACAGTATATATTCAATAGACCAAGCCCAGATAAACGATTGGTTTTCATTGTATTTCTCTAGTCTTCTCATGGTACCGACAGATCGTTCTGTCGTTGCCGTAGATACCGGCATACATGCATATACGTTAAGTATATTAAAGTTTCCCCGAGTATAAATCCTTGTTTATAATATCATAATTAGGAAACCTTTGACTATATATAAATACGTTTGAAGTCTAGAAATCAACAAGGAAAAGCACCAAATTCAGTATTTCCGATTTCTATTTATCTACTTCCAAAACGAGAGTATTTTATTTTTACCAAGCAAGGATAATAAGCACTTTGAATGAGCATGGAGAATAAGCACTTTTAGTCTCGAGGCATCTATAGTTAAATCGAGGGAACATATTGAACGAGGCACCGGTCTTGCACGACCGAACGTAGAATAAAAAATAAAAACACGTTGATCGTCAAATAAAAAAAAACGGCGGACGTTGTAAGAAAATTACCATAATCAATCTTAAGTTTATATTAAGTTTGACTGAATTGTTTAAAAAAATCTATTATGACGACGTATGTAAGACTCTACATATCTCACAGGATAATCATAAGAATGACTTGTTTCCCAAGAACGTCATATTTTATTTCATCAGTTACTTTGAAATCTTCAGAAATGTCAGGGTAAGGAGGCATTGCAGCCGTAACAATTGTGTTCTGACACCCCGAGGACTCAGCTATTTTAATTGTGTGCATCAGCAACACAATCACGATGCTGGTTCCGTACATGAAAAGAGTAGTATGGTTTCAGGAACGAAATATAGTTACAACGTGATTATTAGCATTTTTTTATAATACTTTTTAATTTATTCTATTACTTCAGTTTTATTCTTACTAGATTGGCCATATTTTTATTTCTTTCAAATTGTCGATGTGTACGCAACTGCGTTTTTGCGTACGGGTTGCTACGCGCCTTACTTTCTTGTTTATTTGACCTGTTATACTAATTGTAATGCTTTTTTTGTTATTTAATGTTTACTTATTCAGGGTTATATCTGGTCTATATACCAGCTTTGATAAGTGTTTGGTATTACTTTAAATTTTCACTTCTTCGTACTATGAACATCAAAATTATTTATTTTGTAAAAAATATTTCCTTTCTCCATTTGAAATGTACACGTATACCTAACAACAAAATTATTTTCATTTACCTGTGTTTAAAGTTATTGCAAATGGCTGATATTTTTGTTCAAGCATATTGCTTTTCTTAAATTGTTTAACATTTCACAGCGGTATAACATGTTACTTTAATTATTCTTCCCTTAGTTAATTTATTTTGTATTTACATTGTATCATAGATCAAATTTATTTGTTCAGTGTATGTTCACTGGTGTTAATATGTCTTTTGATTGAGTTAAGCCATTTCAATTGATATTTTATAGTGTGTCTTTTTATGTTGTGATGTTACACTATTGTTTCAGATAAGGGTGAAAGTTTGGTACCATTAAAACGTTTAAACCCGGTGCAATTGTTTGCACCTGTCCTAAATCAGGAATCTAATGTTCAGTAGTTGTCGTTTGTTGATGTGGTTCATAAGTGTTTCTCGTTTCTCGTTTTTATATAGATTAGGCCGTTGGTTTTCCCGTTTGAATGGTTTTACACTAGTAATTTTTGGGGCTCTTTATAGCTTGCTGTTTGGTGTGAGCCATGGATCCGGGTTGACGACCGTACTTTGACCTATAATGATTTACTTTTATAAATTTTGACTTGGATGGAGAGTTGTCTCATACCACATTTTCTTATATCGATCGGTTGTCTGTAGCAGTAGAAAATTTCTACTGGTTTATAACAAGCCCCGTATTCAATTGATCGTCAACATTCCCCGTCGACGGATTATTATTACTTAAAACACTGTTTTCTGTAAAAACCAGCAAGCAATCAATTGTAGGTGTAAACTTCTCATCTTGTCTTATGTATATGCAGTCAAGCTATATATTTTGCATCAAATGTACTCTAAAACAGCTGTGCGAGTAGCGCATGCTAAGCATGATACGACTTTCTTTTGCATATTGAATATGTTGTAAGAAATATGATGGAAAATATAGCTTTTTAAAGGGGTCAGTAAATTGATCGCGTAGAAAAAAAGTGCACATTTATATTGCAAAGGCTTACACAAATAGTGTCCTAGATATGAGTATTAAAAGTCCCTGTAGGCGTATAAATATTGCCAAACATATTTTCTCGTTGTGTTGAAGACCCATTGGATGGCCTTCTGCTCTTTGGTCGGGTTGTTGTCTTTTTGACACATTCCCCATTTCCATTCTCAATTTTATATGACTTTAAAAATCCTCCAGTGTTTGACATGTGAAAAATCACTTTAAGTCTGACCGGTAAGTTCCCAAAGCTCTGAAATGCCAAACCAGAAAATGTTCACTTTGAAAATAGAGTTTCCCTAAATCAGTACAAATACGTCAACGTTTGAATTAATCAATTTAAGCAAACTAAAATAGAAAGAGCGCATTATGTAAAAATCTGCCTTGAATGTGACAGTTAAAGCTGGAACTACAAAGTTAAAATCGATAGGAAGATTATTTATATCAATCTTATCAACAAGTACATTGATTAAAGCAAACTCGAGCTAGTGCCTAATAGGTGATCAATTTCCTCGAATATATTTGTTAAAGTCCCATAACTATGGAACGACAAACCGAATAATATTCAAAAAAAAATAATGAAAATATCGAACTTCAAGTTAAATTCAAAAAGGGGGAAGTCCATAAAAACCGACAAAATCAAACGTTATCAAACAACAGAATGAGTGAAAAAATAACTGTGATGTGCCTGTGATGTGTTTTTAGCCAATCAAACCTCCCACTTGTATGACAGTTATATAGTTATAGTTCCGTTATTGAAAAAATGGGTGAACAACCCAATCAGACATACTAGGTTAATGTGACAACAATTGGGATCCAACAGCCAAAACGGTGTAAAATCACAGACATATAACACAACTGACTAAAAATTCAAACACACATACAAATAACTGTAACTAAGACACCAACAAAATCAAAATCGACAGGCAGCTTTCTTCGGTCAATCCTAATCACGGAAATTACTGAAAGCAAAGTTAGCATTCGAAGTGTTGACGTATGGTCAGATGGACGGACAAACAACGGTATAATACGCTACATATTAAACTGCGTATAAAAACTACGACGTATTAGAAAGATTGAAATTGAATGATACTCTTTTATATATTTACCTTCTATTCAAAACCTGAGATCCAACAGAGTGGGGGTATACTGGTTTTTATCTGTACGGAACACGTTTTGTTTGCCTTTTTCTTAATAACAAGAATTAAGAGCTTTCTGATATTTGGTACAAAACTACATATTTGCATGCTTGACCATGTGATTTCGATTCCGTCACTAATCTACTTCTTGCTTGCCGATTAATGGTGTATGTTTTGCATTGATAGACGTCCTAGCAGCTTGAAATCAGAGCTTGCTGATAAATGATGACACTTTTATATGTGGAGCTATACAGTGAATGTACTTATTAGCCATCATTGATCTGTTTCCACATCGTTTGCTGTATGTGTTGTTTGTTCTTCTTTTATTCAAAAGCAAGAGAAGGGTATGAATAAATTAACAGTTGCTCACACTACAATTTGTTTGTATTTGATATCTCTTAACGTATGTCCATTTAGCCACATTGTAAATGTTTTTTTTTTTTAATTCCAGACACTAATGTCAGACGCTTTCAATGAACGGCCTGAGCATGGAATCCGAAACAAGTGATTCCAACTTAGAGGAAGACAAATATAACGACATAGAAGAAGAAGATGCAGATGATCAACAAGATAAATACATTCCTACATTTCACATCGATTTCATCCAATTCCAGGCAGCTCAAAATTCTGTACAATTACAAAGATGTCAAGAATCGGACTACTTACTTCAAAGCAAAAGCTTGACAGTTTCTCTTCGTAAATCGTGTAGAAAATGTTGCTGCATAAAGAGTTGTACAATTTTATGACTAAAAAAAACATTTAGTTAGTTTATTTATATATCATTGCTTATCATTTTAATACTTCACATTTAATATAATAAATCATGGATTTGTAAAGGCAGTTATTCATTAGTGGATTTTGTGTAGATTGTACATTGGATCTTGATCCGTATTTCAAATCATAGTCAAATTTAGTTTTCAATGCAGTTAATGGATTATTTTTTTTATGTATTTTTCTTCTTTTTACTACTCTTTGCATGTAAACACCAGGTACCAATATCTCGACTTAGACTGTAATAATGATTTGATAGATCACCTATGACGGCATTGTATTTACACTAATCGTTTTCCACATCCACATCCCTAAACTTTAAATACTTCCTGTTTGTCATTTCAAAATGTTTTGAATGATACCCAGGGTTAGTCCCAAGGGGTCATTCCCACCCCTGTCATTGATAATGTTCATATATCTTGTAAGTAGTCGAGATCCCCACTCCCAAACCATATATATTCTGGTTTGTTATCCAAAATGATTTAAATGATAGACAGTGTTAGTCCCCAGGGGTCATTTGCATCCCCTGTCATATAAATATGTTCAATTATCTTGTTCGAGATCCCCACCCCAAACCATATATATTCTGGTTTGTTATGCCAAGATGATTAAAATGATTTACAATGTTAGTCCCCAGGAGTCATTCGCATCCCCTGTCATTTAAATATGTTCAAATATCTTATAAGTGATCGAGATTCCAATTCATATATATTCTGGTTTGCCAAGATGATTTGAATGATATATATATGTTTAGTACCCAGGGGTCATTCCCACCCCCTGTCATTTAAATATGTTCAAATATCTTGTAAGTGGTCAAGATTTTCACCCTTTAACCATATATAATCTGGTTTGTTATGCCAAAATTAATTGAATGATATATAGAATTAGTCACACGGGGTCATAACCACCCCCTACTATTTGAAAATGTAGAATTATATTGTTCGTGATAAAGATCCCCACCCCTTTGATTTGAATGTTATTTTAAAGAACGTCCCCACGGACCATCCCCATCCCTTTCATTTGAGAATGTTCAAATATCTAGTTAATGGTCAAGATCCCCACCCTTAAACTAATGATCTGATTGATATAGAAGTGAAACACTGAACCCAATCTCTTGCTTCTGAGAATTTTTTTTTATATGTTGACAAAACGTGTTTAATTCGGTTTGAGTCTAGCCACCAAGGAAGCATCATGACTGTTGAACGAAAGATAAGAAATTTTATTATGTATAAATACGATACGTTGTATATATACGTTGCATAAATCTGTATGTATAAATGCGGTATATAGCTGTTTATCATATCAGATGGCATCAAATAAAATTTGAGGTTTATGAAACTGATATTGCTTTGCCTTTTTTAACACTAAACTTTAAATTTTATTAAGCTAGCACAAAGTTGAAATTAGAAAATAAGTAACCTCAACTCTTGCTTCATGAGAAAGTTGGCTTAAAAGAATTTAATGATACATTTCACAATTAAATATATTGACTTTCTTATTAAGTTTGCATTCTCACATTTATATTCATATAAAAAAGATCATGTAGACTTAACCATGCAATATGAAACCTGGCCTTGGTAAAAGAAAAAAACATTTTCATTTTATAATTAAAAACACTCTTTTCTTGAAAGTTTTCTTTTACCAAGGCCAGGTTTCATATTGCATGGTTAAGTCTGCATGTAAAGAATTATGTGAGTAGTACTTCTTAAAATGCATTATTTGTAGACCCTCCTTTTGGTGCTGGATAACACTCATTCATATCCTTATTTTTGCACACTGTGACATTCTGTCTTCTGTGTGACATACGCTGTATAATATTATACAATGCAGAATCTTTCAGATAAACTGATTTACTGTATTTTGTCTACAAGTATTTTGAAATTAAAATAAAACAATGTTACACTGAAATTATCATTGCAGTTTTGTCCATTTTCACGTTTGCAAGTTTTTCTAAGAATTATTTGTCCTCTGTCTCGAAATGAATTACTCATTTACATTTCAGAAACTTATAAATACATGCACGAGTCAATACCTAAATTAAGGATAGTGTTTGATTGGCCAAATTTACCATGCAACTCTAAATTAAATATTTGACGTATTTAACATATAAAACTATTCCCGCATAGTTGAAAGCATCATCTTATCCAGAGATATAGATGTAAAATATAAATTGAAATTTTGTTTTGCCTCATGACCCAAACAAACTACCTTCTGCTCATGTTGGAGTAATATCTAATATGATAGGTTTCTATTATTATCCAAATTATTTGAAAAAGATTGTTTTCAACAAACATATATAATCCCCCCTTAAAAAGATTGCTTTTTCTTGACGTTTTATTGATGATCAAAAGTTACCTATACATTTGTGTGTAACTGCCTCCTAATATTTTTATAAATGAAAGTATTTTTTTTTTGGATTGCAATTAGGCAAGATTTCACTATTATATTTAAATGCTGTTGGATTTAATTTCAATTCTTTAAAGAAATATATTTATATATGCTAGAATTATAGTGCAGGTTTGGTGTACGTACTTTTATATCCTTGTATATTGCCAGTTTTAATATGTGTGCTAACTTTATTATAAAGGTTTAGTGTACGTTACTTTATATCCTTGTATATTGCCAGTTTTTACTCACGTTTTAATAGACAATTCTTAAAGTGGGACTATATTGCATTGAACGTGTCCCTCTATCTGTTTACTCATTTAGCATCTGTCCGTTTGTCCATTCATTAAAAAATGTTTCTGTAAGACTTTTCTCAACAGTTCCTGAACAGAATGACGTTATATTTGGCAAGCAGGTTGTCTGTAATGAGGAGTAACATATGAGCACTTTTTAATCTGTGGAAACCTTCCTGTTTTGGCACATAACTGTTGAAATTGTTCTGGGGGAGAAGAACTAATTTCCCTGGAGCATGAAGGCAGGGATAATTCATTTTATTTAGGTACCTGTTAGATAATACTAACAGCTGGTAAATTTTGATTAAGTTTGCAGGAAAAAATGCAACAAACATATGTGAACATGAACAAAATGTCTAAGACATGAAGGCCAAGGCGTATCATTTGCAAGGATGCTTTTCAAAATGTTCAATTAAAGTTCCTGCTAAACACAGTGTTTTTTTACACTAAAACTATTGATGAATTCCTAATAAAGGGGAATAAGTTTGCTGATGAAAAAAAAATATTAAAAATATGAAAACACTGAAATTGAACGTCGTAAAAAGATGTCTGAGACATTAAAAGAAAACTACGGTCTCCAACGAAAAAAAGAGGAGTACGAAATAGATGAATTTCAATGACTCATTATTGTCATCCAAGGATGCATATAAGAATGATAGAAAAAATGATAAAAAAAAGAACCAGCAGAAGTATCTCATACCAATGATCCTGGGATATCAGCATCACAATATTCTGAAGCAAATGATTTGAACCTAGAAGAATCTGAACTGAAGACATTTGAAAAATAAACAGTGTTGTTTGAAGAATTTAAGACACTTTTTATAATATTAATTAGGAAATGTTCTTATTGTGTAATATATATATTTTCAGAGCAGAGATTCTGTTGAATCTGGATATTGTACTTTTATAATTCTGTACTCCGTTTTTTTTTTTTTTTAAAGGAATTTTCAATAGCATTATTCCCAATATAAAAACAATCTTCAGGTGAAGAATATTAGACATTTATTAAAAAAGATATTTTAGTCAGGTATGAAAGTATGATAGTCTTTTTTATTTATTCAAATGTATGTATTTCCAATATAACAGACGGAAACAACAAATGATATATACAGCAGGTTAAGAACTACCAATGGTCGTATATATTTTGAACACACCTTAAACGTGAAAGCACTTCAATATTGAAAGGCACTTCAGTTTTGTACTATTACCACATTCAATTTATCAGTCTCAATATTTGTTCTAATGTTATATTCAATCCCCATGTGTCACACGTGGAGCAAGTTCTGCTAACCCCTCCGTAGCACCAGAGATCACCCCTTTTTTTGGTGGGATTTATATTGCTCAATTTTTTTTCAACGTTTTGTGTATTGTTGTTTGAGTTTGAATGTTCCGTTGGTATCCTCTAGATCACTTTTATAAATGACATCAGCTATACTGATGAATATGCAATTTTAAAAGTATATTTGTTTTACGTTATACTTCATGTGAAATAAATGAATATTTAACATCAAAAACATAATTATTCAACCTTTAACATCCACTGGTTAATTGTTCAACCATGTCCAAGAGGAGAACAAATGCTTAAACCACATTTATTTGAACCCATGTCAGCAAGCATACTCATATTTGTGTCATAGAAGACAATACAATCATAAATCTACTAAAGTTCAAACATTTATCATTATAGACATCTGTATAGAAATTCTATTCAAATTTTATTGTATATATTTCAGAAATATTACATCATGGCAAAGACAAATAGAGCAAAAAGAAGGAAAGACAAACAGCGGAAACAGCAATTTAGAGAAAAAATATGTTTAAAATATAGGCAACGGTAGTTTTCCAATGTTCAAATATCATCAATTGATTGATAAGAAACAAAAACAAAATGTATAAAAATCAAAATTAGCTATTTGAAACTTCAATGTAATATGAATACAGAAAAGAGAAAAGAAATTAACGACTACAACTGGGTTGTTTTTAGTTGTTTTGATTTTGAAGGTAAAGCCATATCAAATTAACGTGGTTTTGTTTTACAAAGTTTACAAACATATTCACCTCATAAAAAATAATGTTGTAGCTACTAAATACTTGTTAAGAAAGACCTTTGTGGTTTCCTTGCTTTCAAATGTTTAATGTATTTCAACATGTTTGCCCCAAGCTTACACGATAAATGTTCTGACAGAAATGTGTTTAAACAGAGAAACAATATCAGCAATGCACTATAACATGATAAGTTCTAAAACTTTGCAGCATTGATATTTTCAGCAGAAATTATGTATATTGTATATATATATAATACATAATTCCTCTCTTTATTTCTTACAGATTTCTTCATCGCATGTATACGTTCGTGTAAATACAGTATGGAAGGAACGTTTTCAGTT